GCAGCTGACGGCGACGGGGCCGCGGGCCGTGATTCTGGCTCCCCGGCGCCGCGTCTGCGGCTGCAAGCCATCTTTCAGTCTTGGTCCTCCCCCCTCCGATCGGCCCTCTGCGCCCCGCCCCGCCTGCATAGCCGTGTGGCCTCCCGCCTGTGCCGATGCTGCCGGGGTCGACCGGTCGCCCGTCGTCTCGGTGATTATTCGGATCCCGTCATCCTTCCGATGTTTTTGCGTCAAAACTTGGGGAGGAGGTTGGATCGCCGAGTGGAGGATGCGCAAACCGTACAGGGGCTTCGTCTAGGGGTGGTCTAGGGAGCGCGATTCCTTGAAGCATTGCCTTTGTCACAGCTAGCCTATGTATGTGCTTGCCCGCACGTAGAAAGTCAAAGTATGATCTTCGTACTCCCCCACATGGGCCCCCTCCTCGCTCAGTGGCCTTACGTTTAAAATACGTACCGTTTATGCCTATCTGCATCGTCTGGCCCACCAAGAAAGTGAGGCCCATTCGATCCTTTTCTGTTCGGCAGACTCGAAGTCCAGCTGTCGAAGTGAACCTCGGCGGTGCTCGTCAATGGCGGCATTCCGACCTCCTCCTCCTACTGTTCTTCCTCCTACTCCTCCTCCTCCTCCTCCTCCTCCTCCTCCTCCTCCTCCTCCTCCTCCTCCATTCCGTTTCCTTCAGAATAACGACTCCTCCCTGTCGCACCCCAGGGTCAGTCGAAAGAGCGGGCCGGGCGGTTTGCTGGAGATTTCTCCGCCATTTATGGAGTTGAAGTTCGAAAGTTGGCAACAGCTCCACACCTGGAGGGCGGGTGGTTTGCAAAATGTGACTCTCGCCGAAGCGCCGCGCACATTCGTCTTCAACAATTGCAAGAGTTTCACGGGTTGAGAGCGGGCCGTTTTCAAAATGTGGCTCTCGCTTTAGCGTCGCGCGCACTTGTTGTAAACATTTGCAGGAGCTTCACGGATTGAGAGCAGGCCGTTTTCAAAATGTGGCTCTCGCTTTCGCGCCGCGCACAGTCTTGTTTATACATTTGCCACAGCTCTACGGATTGAGGGCGATTCGTTTTCAACATGTGTGTCTCTCCTGAGCGACGCTCACATGCGCCGTGAACACTTACAAGAGCTTCACGGATTGAGGGCGGGCCGTTTTCAAAAGGTGGTTTTCGTCTTCGCGCCGCGCACACTCGTCGTAAACATTTGCAAGAGCTTCGCGGATTGAGGGCGGCTCGTTTTCAAATTGTGGGTCTTTCTTGAGCGCCGCGCACATGCGCCTTGAACATTTGTATGAGTTCCACGGATTGAGGGCGGGCTGCTTTCAAAATGTGGCTCTCTCCTTCGCGCCGCGCACATTCGCTTGAAAATCAGCAAGCACAATCGCATGATCCCATCAATGATCACAGCTGAAGGTATTGACGAGACAGATAGACAAAACATAGCAGACGTATTCGCGACTTTTTACGAGAAGCTGTACAAGGACCCGCACCGCGTAGCCAGCACCGGCAACACCCACTTGCAGACGCACGACGACTCGAGCATCCCGCCTTTCACAGCAAACGAGCTCCAACAAGCAATCCCATACCTCAAGAACTGCAGGTGCAGCGATACCGCTGGGTTCACGGCAGAATTGCTCAAAGCAGGAGGCACCACCTTACAGTGACATCTACTTCGACTATACAACGACACCATCAAGCCTGATCGCCCCCCGCCAGACCAGTGGAAGAGCACCACAATCACTGTAATACACAAGTCCGGTGACCCCAACCGGGCAATTACAGACCAATTGCCATCATCCCTCTGCTGTATAAGTTGATGTCTCGCCTCCTTTGCAACCGCCCAGCGTCTTGTTCGACGCGCAACAATGCCCAGACCAAGCAGGTTTCCGCAATAGCTACTGCACAGAGGATCACTTGTTTACCACAACAATGCTTCATGAGAACTCTTACGAATGGCAGCTGACGCTCTGGGCCGCCGCAGTAGATTTCAAGAGAGCGTTTGACTGTGTTGGCCACGACTGTATGCGGGACGCTTTACGACAGCAACATATATATATATATGTGTGTGTAAATATATATAACTCCCGCCTACATCACTTTCCTGCAACACTTATATAGCACCCAAGCTGGTACAGTTCGAACGGATACCAAGAGCAGAGCCTTCAACATCGAACGGGGCGCTAAACAGGGAGACCCGCTGAGCTTTTTCCTCTTCAACGCCGTCCTAGAGCACGTGCTCAGACAAGTGAAACCTGTTTGGTTACGGAAGAAATTCGGGATCCACCTTGGCTTTCAAGAACAAGCGCGGATTCCAAATCTGCGTTTCGCCGACGACGTGTTGTTGTACGCCACCAACCTCAGACAGCTCACCTGCTTACTTCGTGACGCACAAATTCACGTTGCGAAATGTGGTCTGTTACTACATCCTGAAAAACAAAACGAACATCCGGACGAACATTTTAGCCGGAGAGAGGGGAGAGAGAACAATCTGCCATGTCGACATCAACGGCGGCAGCATGAACATCCTACATTCCAGCCACGGAACGAAGTACTTGGGAAGAAAGCTCACTTTTCACGAATTTCATGACACAGAGCTGCACAACAGGATTGCCGCAGGGTGGGCCCGTTTCAATCAGCTTCGTTACGAATTGACCAACAAACGCTTCCCGCTCCATAGTAGATTGAGGTTGTCCAGTGGCATTGTCACAGCATCCGCGTTGTACGGCTGCTCATCCTGGATTCTGACAAAGGAGATGTTTCTTATTCTCAGTCGCGTCCAACTGAAAATGCCCAGGCTTGTCACGGGAGCACCGCGGAGGCGCAACGAACAACACCAGCACGCGCCCGACACCTCCGACGACGACCGCCACCACAACATGACCGACGCCGACACAGCAAAGAACCCGAACTACACAGCCAGAAACAGCGACGAGAGGAATGATGACGGAAAGGGTCCATGGGTCGACTACATTCGACGAGCCACGCGCGAAGCCACGGACCACGATTCCCGAGCTCAAGTGTAAGAATGGGTTGATCTATATTTCAAACGGAAATGGAAGTGGGCATCCCGAGTGGCGAGACACGATAGCGACAGGTGGACTTCATAGCTGCCTCATGGGAACCACGCTCTCACGACCCGCGCCCAGCGCACCGGCGGCACGGAGGTCAACGAAAGCGATGGGCAGACGACATCATGCATTTCTTACGCGCCAAGGGCATGTGTGAAGACCGCGACAACCCAGGAACACAACATCCAATGGTTACCAATTGCAGCATATCAACAATAATCGAAGGATCAAGAACATGATTTTATACAATTCGCCTACGCCCACTACAACCTATAGGATCTGGAAGGCTTCCCCGACTCCAGCGTTACGTGTTCTGCCTATTCTGGTCGTTTCTTCGACTCCTGTTCACACCTTTTCGACTCCGGTTCTCATCCGTCTCTCCGGCTCCGGTTCCGACTCCTGCTCCCAACGCGTTTGCTGAAGGCTCTGGCCCCCCCGCGCCGCCCTATGAGCGCCGGCGCCGCCGGACCGAACTCGCGCGCTCGCCTCGCGTCGTTTCACGGATTGAGTGCGGGCCGTTTTCATTATTATGTGGTTTTCGTTTTAGTGCCGCGCACATTCGCTTTAAACCTTTTTTTGCATAACCTTCACGGATTGAGGGCGGGCCGTTTTCAAAAGGTGGTTTTCGCTTTAGCGCCACGCAGGCTCGTCGTGAACATGTGCAAGAGATTCACGGATTGAGGGCGGCTCGTTTTTTAAATGTGGGTTTTCCTGAGCGCCGCGCACATGCGCCTTGAACATTTGTAAGAGCTTCACGGATTCAGGGCGGGCTGGTTTCGAAATGTGGCTCTCGCTTTCGCGCCGCGCACACTCGTAAGCATTTGCTAAAGCTTCACGGATTGAGTGCGGGCCGTTTTCATATTGTGATTCTCGTTTTGGCGTCGCGCACATTCGTCTTGATTTTTTCAGAAGGTTCACGGATTGAGGGCGGGTGGTTTTCAAAAAGTGGTTCTCGCCTTCGCGCCGCGTGCATTCCGTTCAGGGTCAACGTACCAACAATTGTGTTTTGGAAGGACTCGGGATTGTGACGGTGTGCTCGGTCTGTTGATTCGCGGTGTTGAAATCTCGCGAATGCTGTTTTGGCACGGTTCGGGATCGCCACGACGCAACGTATATCCGTGGCGTTTGAGTCCCGGGAATTGTGTTTGAGCACGTTTCTTTCAGTGTTTTCAATCGGTTGTCCCCAAACGAGGCAGCTGACCCAGTGGCAGTGAACTCATGTAGGGCCCATGAAGAGGGAAGTTGGAGGTAGGTGCATTCCAACATCATTGATGAATCTCGGGTTTACACTGGTCCTCCTCCTCCTCCTCCCCCTACTTCTCCTCCTCTTCCTCCTCCTCCTTCAATGTAGCCAGCCCGCCCTCATGAATGCGACTTACACGATGATATGCAGGTCGATCGGACACCTGTGGGCAGATATGAAACATCAGCGCGATGGGAAGGGATGGGTGGGAGGGGCAGGATGTCAGGTATGGCGCGCGCACGTAGCTTGTCCACATCGTTTATCCACTCTTACCCGTTCACCCTCCCTCCCCATTCCCATCCTTTTCATGCGGGAGGGTCGCCGATACCCCATCCTGCCCTCCTTTCAGCAACGCGGGAGTGGCGGGCAAGGACTGACACGCAATCCGTCTTTCCACGCGGGGCGTCCGGGAATGTCATGGGCAAGTGCCTCGCCGTGGTCGCGCGAGGATTTCCAGCCACCTTGGGGACAGGCACCCCTGTGGAACATTCAATGTCGGGTTGGTCCTCGTCCGCCAAGAGGGGGAGGAGGAGAGGATGAGTTCGGCGGTTGCGGAGCAGGAGGAAGAGGAGGAAGAGGAGACGGAGGAGGAGGAGGAGGAGGAGGAGGAGGGTAGACGGAGGAGGGGTGGGCAGAGGGTCGGGGGGGGACGGGGGGACGGGGCGGACTGGGGGAGCAGAGGAGCGGCGCGCCGAGGTCATCAGTGCACAGGACTCCGACAGTAACAAGCCGCGAGGGGGGGGCGGGGGGGGGGGGCAGGGCCGGGCAGGGCCAGCCCTCGACATCGTGGTGTCATGTAACACAGTGCGACAAGGTCATGCCGTCTCGACGCGGCGGCAGCGCGGGCGCAGGCGTTCAAGCTTCCAGAGCTTTGCCCGTAGTGGCATCCGGCTACGGAGATCGTTGAATAATAACTGATTCACGCGGGACATAGATCAGAGCCCACGAAATCATGGGAGACACTTGCCGTGTGCCGCCGCCACCTCCTTCTCCTCCTCTTCTCGGATCCGCATCCTCTTGGTTTCCCACGTCCTCTGTCGTCGACGTGATTCGAATATTCAAAACGGCAAACACAAACTTTCGGAGTTCCGCGCGGATTTCTTGGATCTGCGTTGGATTCCCCGAGAAATCGTAGTGGACCTTCGAACGTTGATGCTTTGCATTATTGTTATGGCTTCCCGACCCTCCTGCGTTGGGTCCTTGTTTCGGATCGAGCACTCCTCGCGCATCTCCCTCCTTCCTCCCGCGTCCTCTCTCTTCCTGCCTTCTCCTTCTCTTTTTCTGTACTTCCATCCTAGTGCCTCCTTCCTCGTGACTTTCCTGATGAGGGGCTGCACAACTGACGCCGCTTTCGTGGGCTACTGGGAGGTCCAGCGAAGTGGCGTCCTGCGCACACCCAGAGTAGACTGCCACTGAGGGGCTGCCACTTGCGCAACAGTCGCCATTTTCTTTGGCTCCTCGGAGATCCAGCGCAGTGGCGTCCTGCACACGCCCAGGGCTCTGTGGGGGGGCTGCCACCTGCACAACACTCCCCACTCTCGAAGGCTCATCTGAATTCCGGCGGAGTAGCGTCCTCCGCACACCCAGGGTAGACATCGTGGCTCCCTGGGGGGGCCGCCACGTGCGCAACCGTCGTCCCTTTCGTGGACTCCTGGGAGGTCTCGCGGAGTGGTGTCCTTGGCGATGATCTTCCCGCAGATGTGCCTGCACTTATGGTTTCTGACTTCACTCCCTAAGGGACTGGTTGGGTTAAGCGGGGTTTTCCTCGATGCCGCCCGTTGCCTCCTCGTTGCCGCCTCGTGCGCTGGGTGGGTCTGACAAGGATTCGTCACGTGGCCGCTCATTCCTGCCTCGTTGCTGCCTCGTGCGCTGTTTGAGTCCGGCGAGGTTTCGCCACGTTGCCGCTTCGTTGCCGCCTTGTGCGCTGGGTGGGTCAGGCTAGGTTTCGCCACGTTGCCGCCCGCTGCCGCCTCATCCCCGCCTTGTGCGCTGGGTTGGTCTTACGAGGTTTCGCCAAGTTGCCGCCCGCTGCCCCCTCGTTGCCGCCCTGGTTGCTGGGTGGGTCAGGCTAGGTTTCGCCTCGTTGCGGCAACGGGTCGTTGCCGCCTCGGTGCTCTGTGTGGGTCTGGCGAGGTTCTGCCACGTTGCCGCCCGTTGCCGCCTCGTTGCCCCCTCGTGCTCTGGGTGGGTCTGGCGAGGCTTTGACACATTGCCGCCCGTTGCCACCTCGTTGCCGCCTCGTGCTCTGTGTGGGTCTGGCGAGGCTTTGCCACGCCCATAGCCGCCTCGTTGTTGCCTATGTTGCTGCCCGTTGCCGCCTCGTTGCCCCCTCGTGGACTGGGTGGGTCTGGTGAGGTTGTGCCACGTTGCCGCCTCGATGCCGCCTCGTTGCCGCCTTGTCCGCTGGGTGAGTCCAGGGAAGTTTCGCCACGTTGCCGCCTCGTTGCCGCCTCGTGCTCTGGGTGGTCTGGCGAGGTTTCGCCACGTTGCCGCCCATTGCTGCCTCGTTGCCGCCTCTTGCGCTGGGTTGGTCTTACGAGGTTTCGCCAAGTTGCCGCCCGTCGCCTCGTTGCCGCCTCGAGCTTGCACCACGTAGCGTGCAGCACATAGCTTGCATTCCTTTGAAACCCTTAGTAGTTTCGAGTCCCCGGACTATTGGTTCCCCCGGGCCACTTCTCCCCCCCCACGGATTATTTGCCCTCCCGGATTATAAGTCCCCCCCGGCTTGTCGGTATTCCCCCCCGGACGGTTGCTAATCCCCCCTGGACTAGTATCCCCCCCCCAGACTGCCGCCCCATCCACGGCGTTGCCCGCAATCGGGAGAAGATTTGTCATTTGCGCGCGCGATTGCCCGCGCGAGCGTGCGCGCGTGCACGCGCGTGCGTGTGCGCGTGCGCGAGTGCATGTGGGGGTGCGGGTGCGTTTGCGCGTGCGTGCGCGTGCGTTCGCGCGCGCGCGCGTACGAAAACAAGACCGACAACCACGGGGAACGCCGGGGCCAATCGTTTCTGGAACCCGCCGGTTCTTCGCAACCAATGAAGGACCCCTTCAGGCAAAGCCGAATTGAGGAAAAGTGTCATATGCTCACCCCCCTCCCCCCTCCCTCTCCTCCCCCCCGGACAACAAGTACCCTATTGCAGGCCCCCCCCGGACTATTGGTTCCACCTCCGAATTATTGATCCCCCCCTGGACTATTGACTATTGGTCCCCCCCCCTGAGTATTGGTCCCCCCCCCGGATTGCAGGTGCCCCCCCCCAGACTACAGGTACCTTCCCCGGACTATTGACTAATGGCTGGTCCTCCCAAAACTATTGAGGGGTTCAGGGTACATAGTTTGCACCAACTTGCTAGCACATCCGCAGTGCAATCAGTTATTCGTTGGGGTGCACGCTTGCTAACATATCCTGATTTGGAAGTTCGCTGATCCGCAGAGATGGGCGGCTTGCTACGCTGAGTAGAGCCCCAAGTCTCAGTTACAACTCACCGCGCCATGCACCTCTTTGCAAGCAGATGGGCCTGCGCATCTTGTGGCCTTAGGCACATCCCGCCACGGTGTCTGGGTTGCGGGCCACAGGCATTGCCTCTCGAGGGTCTCTCGGACCTCTTGAGGGGGTTATTTGGGCCTCTTCGGGGCCTCTGGGGGGGTGGGTCGGGGGGCTCTTTGGACTTCTAGGGGACTCCTGAGGGCATGTTTGGGGCTGTCTTGGAAGGGATGCACTCTCAAGGCCAGTTCGAGTTCTCCCTCTTGGGGGCATCATGGGCCGTCTTGGTGGCTTTTGGTTTGTCTTGGGGCTCTCTTGAAGGCCTCTTGCATCGTCTTGGGGCGATCTCTTGGAGCGACTCGCTGCCCTCTTGGACCGTCTCGGGCGACTCTTGGGACCCTCTTGGCCCGTCTGTGATCCCACCACTGTATGGGGAAATCATGCGACTGGCCCCGTGGGTCTTGTGGACATCTCCAAGACATCTGGCAATGGCTCCAAGGGGCCTCAGGACAATCCACTTCGTGCTTCGCGGCACGATGGCGGATCATGCGAAAGGCGACAGGAGATCGAACGGAAAGAGGGACTTCAAAGTTGACGACCAGGATGAGCACGAGTGATACCAACATGTGTTTGGAACATCGCCCCGCCCGTCTGCCATGTCCAGGGGACAGAAAGTCGTACGAAACAAATTAGCAAACGGGATCCACGACGCGGAAAGCACATTTATAATTTCACACATAGCCGGACGAGTCTGTAAGATGGCAATGCCAGTAGCCATTGTTAACGCTAAGTCAGTTTTACGGCACTCATAAGTGGCAATGGTCGATGGTCGGTGCCACTGGTAGTGGTCCCAAGAGCGCTATTACAGTCTCTGTTGGATGGCCACCATGCTGCGCTTTACTTTCTGCAGTGAACTGGTGGAGAGGACTGTGGCCGAACCGATACACTTACACACGCAGAGCCCTGTTCGCGATTATCAGGGTCAATGTGTTTTTTTTATCATCATCCGTAGCCATCCGGGCTCGAACCGCAACCGTCTGTTCGCTCGAGACGGGCCGTCCAGAGGATCGCGGCAGCCAGCCGGGTCTCCAATGCGGGCTGACAAGCAGGCTCGCTACGCATCACTTGATCCGCAACGGTAGATCTAAATATGTCTGCCGCCCATAACTGCGGCGTCGCCAGGAGCAGTGGCGGCACCGAGTTCGCAGACAGGAAATACGTATCTTTCTACAGCGTCTTGTTTTTCGCCGTGCTCGTGCCCGACCTCGTGGCGGTGCTGGTCTATTCGGCCATGGGTCTGGGGCCAGATGTAGATGACGACATCGCAAACGATTGGTCAATGTTGATGGGCAATGTATCGGTTTTATGGCTGATGGTGATGTTTGTGTTCGACTTGCTCGATAGCACCGTGTGGGGACACGGGGTAAGGGTAGCCATTCCGTTTCTGAGCGTCGCTATTTCTGTGGTGTCGGTGTTTATTAGTTTTATTGTGAAATCCGTGAGCTACCCGTGGGTGCCAGTCTTGATGAAATCGTGTGCAACAATGTTCTTACTCGCTTTCATACACGACCAGTGGAGGAACTTAGAAGTGGGCCCTCCGAACTTCTACTTGGCGACGGCAGTCTGCGGTGCTCGTGACATGGATCGCTTGGATAATGTCCGCACATGGCTAATGAGAGCTTTGGTGGGACGCGGACACAGAGCGCTGGCTAGTTAACAAGTCTGCCAGGGTCTACCTCCAGTTGGCTCCCGACGAGCTGGCATCTGAAGCGTCGCCGCTTGCATTGTTTGAATAGTGCCTTCGAGACAGTGGCTGTCCAGGACCTGGTCACGAACGCCTGTGGGATGGCAGCCACAGTCGTCTTCACGCAGTGGGCTGGCCCGTTCATGGTATTCACCTGCAACGTGCTCGGTGCAGGTTTCTGTATACTCTTCTCCAACAGCATCGCGAATGTAGGGGACACCAACACGGCGCTGCAGACTAAAAATAATGCCCTCATCACGTTCTTCAAGCGTTTCCTCCTCATCATCGCTTTCGCAGTGGCAAGTCTGCAAACTTCTGTACGTGTCTGGCGCCGCTGCAGACCTCGGTCGCGCAATGATGGCCTTGGCGTTTGTCGCGCTCTGCTTCATGTTCCTGTATCTAGCTCGGGAGGTGGATTCGCACACCCTCAACGAGATGAACGCAGACACCCCGATGTAGAGGGACGTCATCAACATATTACAGTATAATTGGATGAGTGCGATAGCTGTTGGAGGCCTGAACGTCACGATCCCTCTGGCCGTGCATCTGGATAGGGTGCGACAGCGGGTTCGGAAGAACATCACCAATCCTTATCACGGGGCAGGGGCATGCAGCGCACACAACGACTACCATACGCCATCTGGCAGGAGGTTGGTCGATTCCTTGGCGAAGTGGGAAGCAGCAGATATCATGTGCAAGGTTTGTGTGCTCGCAGAGGTATTCGTCCTTCTCTTGGTGGGCTCGAAGGCAACATTCATTCCCTCAGTTCCCCGAATGGAGAAATCGAGGCAGCGGGCCTGGGTTTAGGTATAAGTTTCGTTCGTGATGGTCGGGCCATCGGGCTGGCCATGTTCTTAAATTCAATCGTCCCTGGGAGTGCCGTTTACCTGTTCGCTGGCGTCGTGATCGGAGCGCTGTCACAAAAAGATGGTTCCATCGGCATCTGGGCAGGTTTGATGTTGGCATGCATTGCTGGAACCCTGGCGAACCTGCTTGCGTGCATTGGGTAGTACTTGCTTGGCTACTTTGCTGGGAAGTTAGTCAAAATGCAAAATTTCGCTGGCGTTACCAAAGTGAGCGTCTTGGCGACAGAGGCGGTACTGAAGGAGAAGGGTCTCAAGCTGTTAAAGGTCTGCATCCTGGTGGCAGGTCCCGACTTCCCAACGAGCGTTCTGTGCGGCATCTTGAAGCTGAGCATTCCCCAGATGCTCCTTGGCACAAGTCCAGTCATTTTGGAGAACGCCTCCGAAGAAGTGTGGGCCATGATCGCCACAGTAGCCACAGGGCTTGCCGTTGCTTTCCAAGGCAGGCGCCACCCTTGTCTTCGCGTATTGCATAATGAAAGCAGTCGAGGGGTCGGGGGACGAGCTTGTGAAAGCGCATCGGCCAGAGCATGACGAGGTACGGAAGCTGGCAGAGAAGGACGCCGAATTCGTGAATAAGTACGGCGAGATGTCCGATTGGTGGAGGCTAGGCACGTGTGCGCGTGCGACGCTTCTGGGGACCGTGGCACTCTTCCTCCCCTCTGGTTCCATCATTGCCTTCGATACGATGGCGACAGAAAAGGTCTGTTTCAGGAAGTTCTCCCTGACTGACATAATCACAGACAGTTACGGCTCGGGTGGTCTTAATAGGAACGCGCTCAACGTGGTCCTCGCGCCCATGGGTTGGGTTGCCCTCAGCCTGGCGGCCATTGCGGTTGTGCTGCACATCGGATTTGGGAAGTGGCTAGCGGCCTAGGCAGCAGCGGCTGTCGGTGGCGCAGTGCACTCGCTGGCGCAGGACCTCGGGGCCCCGAGCAGCCCGAGTCCTGTCGACGTGGCGGGCGATTGCCCCAAGCTCGCGGGCCCCCAAGCCGGAGGCGCGTCGGCGACCGCCCCAAAGATTATAGTGTTGGGCCGGGGCATGGAAGGCAGCACTCTCGTCGACGACCGATTTCACACGCCCTCGTCGACGTGGACAGGCCGCGCGGCGAATGCCGCTATGCTGATGCCCGAGAGGTTCCTTACAAGAGGCATGCCAGCCGAGGTCTCCGCGACGGCGAAGAATGATGGGAGCCCTGAGAAGAAAGAGCACCATGAGAGGAGTGCAAGACTCCTAGAGACCATGAAGAGGAAAGCACCCATGGAGCCCGAGGTGCGCAAGGACAAGCGAGAGAAAAAGGAGAGGCGAGAATTGAAAGAAAAGCGGAGGGAGAAGAGCCCAAGAAGCCCACGCGAAGATCCCAATAACAAGTGAGAGAGGAGCCCAAGAGGCCGACTCGAGGATCCCAATGACAAGCGAGAGAAGAAGGAGAGGCGAGTAACAAAAAGAAAGGGATGGGGAGATGAACGCAATAAAGGCATAATCCAGGGCATTGCCGTCTATGCCCGATCCTCTGAAGAGCCATCGTGGCACTTTTGAGACAGGCGATGCCCGCTTTCACAGCTTGCCTGTAGTATGTGGTTTTCCCTCGTCTTCTCCGATCCCCCTCTTCTCTGCCTCCTCTTTCTCCGACTCCTGTTTCTCCGTATCTGCCCCTTCCTCGTCCGTCTCGGCCTTCCCCTCCGTGTCATCCTACAACCTGTGCCAGTACACACTGTGCGCATGGGCCTGCAAGAATGAGCATAATCTGCAGAAGTGCCTTCTGAGGCTCCTGCTCAGCCCCGTGCGTTGCTTTTTTTCGCAAGCGCGGCTTGCCAGACACATCCCTGCTCTCCTCGTCGGAAGACATGAATTGCTGGCCGCACTCGTGTTCACAATTGACGTAGTTGTGCGCACTCAGGACTTCCTCGGAGCATGCTTCCGCCGCCTGTGTCATTTCCCTTGCCTGAAACATCACAACCGTTTGCGCCCTGCCTCACGTCGGTCTCATAACACTTCCCCCGTCCTCCTCCCTGCTCTCTTCCCCTTCTGCGCATGAACTTACTTGACACTTCGTGCGAAGCGGAATGTGCTGGTGAGCGTTTCATGTTCGATGCCGACTTCGAGGCCTTGAACCTCCTCGCTTCTGGTACCTCCTCTCTGTACCGGTCTTCCCTTGCGTCTTCCTTCATTTTGTCAATCCCGTCCTTTCCCCTCTCCTCCCCCTCCCGCCTGCTCGCCCCCCCTTCCTTGCCCTCTTCCCTCTTTTCCACCCTCCCTCCGTCCAGTTCGTCCCCTTCCCTCGTGCCGGTCGTATCTCCCGCACCCAGAAGCGTTGCGGGCGCCAGTGCGTGCTCTGGGGGAGGCCCCGCTGCTGGATCGATTCGTTCAGGGAGTTCCAGGAAGCGAGTCACAAGTGGCTTGCTCAGTCTTCGCTGCGGATCGCGGCGGACGAGGAGACGAGGCCATCTGAGGATTTCCTAGACCTCTGGACATTCTGTAAACATGACAGCTAGAGTTTTGCTAGTCATTCGGTCTGCTGAGCAGGTTTCGGGGCCCAGGACAGTCAAGAAACGGTGAATTTTGGGACCACGCCGCGAGAGGTGTAGGATGTAAGTCTGATCTCAGAAAATATTCATAGGTATTCGGCTTTTGTGATTTTCTGGCGGGCTTCATGGGGTTCAGGGAGTTATAAGCTTCTGGGGTCGTCGGTGCAGCTCCCTGAGGGGTGTGAGGGGTGTGCCGACATGGGCGGGGAGACGCATGCGGGCCCTGCCGCTGCGGCCTTCGGAGCAGCTTCCTAAGGAGCCACGAAACGTGTGAGGGGTTGTACGGACATGAAACAAGGAGGGGAGGGGGACATGGGAGATGTGGAGCGAGGCGATGCGGATTGAAAACAACGTCCCAATACCACCACAGGATTGCTTGGAATCGTTCGATGAAAGGGGCACAGTATGAGATAGAGGGGGAGAGAGAGAGAGAGAGAGAATGAAAGAGAGAGAGAGAGAGAGCGAGAGTGTTGGCATGGAACGCGCGCACGCATCCCACCCCCTCAACAGGATTGTGGGGGGTGGGTGCTCCTGTGCTCGCTCGCGATGCTCGTGTTCCAACCTCCCACGCCCGCCTGGGCTGCGTCGAATGGTGAAGCCCCCCTTCGCCTCCACCCCCACGCAGCCTTTCTAAAGAGGTGCAAACGGTTGGACAGGGACCACGCGTCCAGCATGCCAGAGGTGATGCTCAAGGTCAGGGACTTCCCGTGCAGCATGTCCTCCAAAGCCCTGGGAGACAGGAAGCTGAAGTTGAGGTCGAAGATTCCGGGCGTGCCCGGACGGGTCGTGTCGTAGCCAACGTGGGGATCGTCGAGAATGTAAACGTCAATGATAGTGTTGGGGACGCGGCTGAATCAGAAAACCACGGCGCCGAAGGAGGCATGCTTCTTGCAGTGGACCTCCTGGAAAAAAATTCTCCTGGAGGAGCGGCACGTCGAGGTGCCGCGTGTCCGGGAAGCATATGACACGAGGTGTTTCGTGTACAAATCCGGCTGCAACTCCCGCTCCACGTGCGGCTCAACTTGGAGGAGCGTCTTGTTGCAGATGCCGCCGCTGTTGGGGGCAGCGCCGCCAGCAGATGGCGCCGCCAGCAGGTGCAGCAAGACCAGCGGATGCCGCCGCATTCGGGGGGAGTAGCGCGATGTTCTTGTAGTTATGCCCAGTGTCCCCGTAGGCGCCAGCGATCAGGCTGAGGGAGATGGCGCGGATGATACATCCCTCCGCGTTGCAGGGGAGCGCCCCGACGCACTCCCAGGGCGCATCGGTGACGTCGATGGTGCCGTTGAGGTGGCTATTCCCGTCGGTCATGTGGTGGACCTGCCCGGTGAAGTTCACGCCCTGCTTAAACAGCCAGCATGTTCGGCGAAGCCCAGGGTGCTCACGAACGACACCTGCTGGGTGACGAGGCCGGCCTGCCCGCCGCCCGCGAGGCTCCTGTTCAGCATCCCCGCGGCCGTGGCCGTATCCTCTTCCACGACGAAGGCCAGCTTGCAGCAGGCGTTGCCGCAGCTGCCCTTTTCCATACCGCTGCAGTCCAGGACGTCGCTGTGGTCTGCGCGCCCGCACCGTTAGGATGTCCGATGTCCGCCCTCGGTGGGCGGCAGTTCGGGTGCGGCGGCCGCCCTGGTGCCCAGCAGCAGGGAGGCCAGCACGAGCAGGGTGGCAGCGCCAGCCATCGGCCCGGACGGCACGATCCCGTGGGCCGACCCAGCCGGCGCGCTGGGCCCAAAGGACGGCCGCCGCCTTGAGCCAGGAGGGGGAGGAGGAGGATGAGGCGGAGGAGGAGGAGCAGGAGCAGGAGGAGGAGGAAGAGAGCTTCATCGAAGGAGGAGAAGAGTCGGCAGGCGCCTCTGAATGAAGGGGCCGAACGGTCGAACGCTGTCCCTGGGTGCGTGTCTGAAGTGGGGTTCGGCGGTGCAGATTCTTGTCATTATTCTTGTTGTCGGAGCCGCCCCATCACCCGCCTCGCGACCTGCCTGCGACCCACCCGCGACCTGTCCCGCGATCAACCGGTGACCCACCCACGACCTGTGTTTTGTAGAACACCAATTTGCGCCCCAGCCTGGGCGCCCCATCTCTTTTGTCCGCAACTGCGGGGGAACAAGTATTTGGGAGAACTTGAGGCCAGGGCGACGTGCTGGGCCACGTGCTGGCGCCAGAGCCCATAGGGGGCCAACTCGAGTAGGACATCGACTACACAATGGATGTACCCCGCAATTGATTTTTCTCGTTGAATCTATCACACAATATGTGGACTGGTCGTATATGCTGCGATAAGTCCATGTCTTGGTTGGTAGTTTCGACGACTTTCCAATTCGGAGTACATTGGTTCTGTAGTCTATCCCCTAGTCGACCAATAGGCCTCGAGATGATGTCAAGACCGTCCCAAGAGGCCTAGAGATGCACCGAAGCAGGGCCCCAGGCGATGGGCTGTTGTTCAAAAGCCCCCCAAAGATATCAATGATGCCTGGTGGGTTTCGCCCCAGATTTCCTGAGCCCCTCGGAGGCGCCCAGGAGGCCCAAGGTGCCCGTATGTGGCTTCCAATATGCTCCAAATTGCGCCCCTCAAGATGCGCTAAAGATGCCCCCATGAGGGCCCCAGAAGGCCTAGGAGGCCTTTCAGAAGCTGTAGAGCGCCCCTCAAGGCCCAAAGGGGTCCCGAAGAGGCCCCAAAGAGACCCCCGTCAGGCCCCTACCCCAAGGACCCTGAGAGCCCCCCATGAGGCCCCAGAAGGCCCCTCAGAGGCCTGTGCAGGCATTCGAAGTCGAAGATACCGGCAGCATCTTGGAATCCTCGACAGTAGAGACGCTCACGAACCGGCTCAGACGGTATTGAGAAACTCAGCGCGCCAAGAGTGCCCAGGAGAGAGGCGTGAGTGAGAAGAGAGCAGGAGGGAGCGAGGCCGTACGGAGGAGCGAGGGAGTGAGGAGTGATAGAAAGGAGAGAAGAGATGGATCTGGGGAGCGAGGAGCGATGGAGGAGTGAGGGATGTAGGGAGGGATGTAGGGAGGGAAGAGGGGGAGATGGACAGTGGAGGGAGAGTTAGTACCGAAGTCGCGCGATCCAGTGCACGGCCACGCATCTGGTCCTCCCCTTCCCGTTGGCAGCCGAAGCCGCGGGCCTAACCGACAGATCTGCTGGGTAACTCTAAGGCCCTTCCCGTCCAGGGACTTCGACACCGACGTCACTGGGGGGCGGGCGCCCACTGTCATCCGCCTACTGCTGCATCATGTGCTCGCCATTCTCTCCGCTATCATTGCTACCCTCATCCTTTTCTCCTGATCCTCACCTGTTCCTCCCGACCCTTCATTCTAGTTGACATGTCTCCTCCTTGGTCTTATCATCCTCATCCGCCACCTGCTCCTCGTCCTGGTCCCCACCGTCATTCTCATCGTCATCCTGGTCATCATCCCCCGTTCTCCTCCACCTCCTTCCCTTCTGTCCGCCTTCGCGCCCGTAGCCCCGCCCGCGGACCCCTCTGTATTCGTCAGATCCTCCTCGTCCTCCTCCAGTCCGCCTTGGCAGGAGCCGGCACCGCTTCGATATGGAGGCCCGCTCTTCGCCCGTGGGCCCGCTCCGCCCTGAGCCCGATCCGCCGCAGTCCCGCTCTCGTTGGAGACCCGCTTCGCTGAATAGAATGACTGCTTTGCCGCGGCGGGGCCGCTTCGCCGGAGCCCTGTTCCGCCTCCGCGTCCGCCTCCGCCCCCTTTGCCTCCTCTGGGCAGGGCGGGGTGCAGATACTGCCATCATTGTCTTTGAGCTCTGCGCTCCAAACTTGTGGCCTCCCCGAGGGCGGGGGAGGGCCCAGACGGCTCCGCTTGACGCCTCCCCCTGCCGAGTCGATCCGATCCTCCTCCGCCTTCTCCTTCGCCTCCTTACCTCCTTCTCCTCTCGCGAGCGGCCCCCTGCGGCGTGCCGGGGCCGCCCACGCCGTCGCGCAGCTGCCCCAGATGCGCGCCAGCTCGAGGAGCGCGGCGGCGGCCTCTGGCCAGGCGGATGGCCACAGCGACAGCAAGGGCCTCGTCAGCCGCATTCAGTCTGACGTCGGCCAGTCCACCGACAAGCGCTTCCGCTTCGTCGCCTCCATGGTCAAGGAGGTCGCATTCCTCGCCAGCGCCACGCGCTTGTCGCGGATCCTGACCCGGGCAATGGTCGCGGACGCCCTGAACAAGGCAGCGGTGGCAGGGGCGTTCTTGTCCTTCTTCAGGCCACGGAAGCACAACTACGGAACGCGACAGCCACGCATCGCGGTGCCCGCCTCGGTTCCCATGACGTGCCTCGGCAGGGTCAAGGGCGAAACCGCGCCAGCGCCCGCGCCCATGCTGGACCAGCACGTCGCCGACTTCACGTTGATCGGGGTCTTCTTCTTTCGGCGAAACGTAAGACTCGAGTAAGCCGGAACTCGGGTCTGCCGCAGTTTTTTGACGAGCGCGTCCTGGATTTTGACGGTCCGGTTTTCGTGGGGGAGCTCGCGTCAAATTTCAGATTGGGTCTCGTCATTTCCATGGTGGGCCCGTCAGGCCAACCCGAGTCCCCCGTACCCGAGTCTTACGTCTCCCCGATTCTTTGGCATGGCGGTGGGTATTTCCATCCTCGGCTCCACCGCTTTGCTGTGCCACGCCGAACGGGCAGAAGGCCCAGGGCCTCGTCAGGAGCTTCGTCCATCGCAGCCGCACCATGCATGGGGCGGCAGGTTGCATGGCCGCATCAACAACCGTCGGTCGCTCCACTACCGGGACAGCGTTCAGGCAGAGGCCACGGTCCCATCAGCAGTGTCGGCAGCAGCACCGCCGCTGGTTGAATCAGCGGGACTCGCAGCAGCCGTTGCAGCAAAGCAAGCGGCAGCTTCAGCCGCCAATCTGTCACCAGCAGCCGGTGCCGATTGTCACCAGCAGCGCCGCAGTCAACATCCTCATCGGCCGCGCCGTCGACGCCGATTACCGTTTCGTCGAGGGCTTCGCCAGAGCAGTATCTCATAATGTTAATGTTTTGAGGCCGACGGTGTATCCTGGCGAGATCAACAAGAGTGCGATCCTTGGCCATGCCATTCGGACCAGCCAAAAGCCGCATTCGGTCTACGCCACATGCGGTCATTGCTGTGCACACGCTTCGTGGCTCAGACGTCATGGACTAACTGTCTTCAGCGGGCTACGCAGATCGATCATATGGGAGAATCGCTGGAGGCCCATCGGAAGGCTCCCTAACGCCGGGATCAACAAGTCGTCAGGAACAACCGCAAGAACGCATGAGTGATGACTTCCTTGTCGGTAGTCAATTCTTTACGTGATTCCCATATTCAGCCGCAACGTACTGGTTGTTGTTGTATATGGGCCAGTGCCAAGGTAGGTGGTGACGGTGCTCCATTTTGTGTTCAGGATGCTACTTGCTACTTGGGAGTATCACCTCACCGAGGGCCCGCCCTACCCTGGTTGCTCAGACGTTGCTCGCACAGGAACGTGTCACACATCCAGTAATTGCCCGAAGGCACCGTGTCAAAGTTGCAAGCCGAGCGAACCGGTTGCTTGCTTGCCGCCATCCGCGTTTGCGACTTTGCCTAACGAGGCTGCGACCGAATACATGAGTTCGTCCCCTGGCCGCCCGCGGCGCCAAACAGGGGAGTGTGTTGCCGGTTGCTTCTTAGCTTCTTCCGCATGATTGCGTCTCTCTGCCGAATCCCCTCTTCCGCAATTGCGAGGTAGGGAGGGGGAGGACGAGGAGGAGGATGAGGAGTTGGAGGAGGCATGAGGACGGGTTGTGGTCGAGGTCTTCGATTGGTGGGGGTACAACAAGGATCTTGGGGAGAAGAACACCTGGTTCCAGCTCGAGTCCGACGGCTCGAGGAGGGCCTTCGCCACGGCGCCACTGGGGCCAGCCCGAGCAACAGGCATGGCGAGATTCGGCTTCCAAGGCCCAGGGGGGATTGGTCGATGATCGAGTTTGGGAGGATCCTGGCCCTCTTTCGGCCTTCTAGGGCCTCCTGAAGCTACTGGAGTTCTCCAGAACTTCTGGAGACCTCCAGAGCTTCCGAAGACCTCCAGGGTGAGGAGAACTGGGGACAGGTGCAGTGGAGGATGGAAGGGGAGGGGGCAGGAAACGGGGGAAGGAGGGTGAAGGTGGGGAGGAGAGGCCAGGGGGTCCAAAGGGAGGAAGGGGGGGCGGCTATGAGGAGGCCGAACCTCGCAAATCCTGGTGGCTTTGGCTGGTCTGCTCAAGGAGGGGCAGAGCATCCTGCGTATGTGGAATCATCTTTCAGGAGGGCCGCGCCGAGGCTTGGGATGTGACGTGTAGGGTGGCGATCCACCTTTCTGTCGTCTTCCCTGTGCGAGCACGCGCGCAGGCCCGCGGTGCCCCGACTTCTCGAGTATGGTATCGACTACAACACTGAGTTACCCCATAATTGATTTGTTCGTCGAGTCTGCAACAGACATGCGTACAGTTTTCATTGGTGTTTTAACATTAGACGGGCTTGTTCGTAGAGTGGGCGATCATCAACCTAGGGGCGAATGAATTCTGCAGTCGACCTCCTTCTCGATGCATGTGGCGGCCCGAGGAGCGTCAGTAAGATGAAAGCCTGCACGATGCAGTTCTTCATCAACCTGGACAGGGATAGTGTCTCCGCCTCCAAGGCCAGTGGCCCCTTGTCAATTACCGCTATCGGTGCTGTCCTCTTCCTCGTTCTCTTCCCAATCCTTCTCGCACCATTATTTGTGTCCTTCCGTTTTTTGCCTCCAATGTCCTCACCATTGGATGTTTTGTTTCGGGCGTTGTCCGAAGTTGTCTTTCGCGGGGTAAACTGAGTGGACCAACTGGACTGGACTGGTCGCACCCACTACGCGGTCGTTACATTTTCGGCCGTCGAACGCGCAACATATGGCGCAACCGATAGAATTTGATTCTCAGCGGCCGAGCGCTCAACCCGTGGCGCAACCATTAGCAGACAGTTTCAGTCTCTGTGGGTTGGCCCTTTCCAGGTGGGAAGATGTGCTCTGCGTTGGCGACCGTGGTGAGCGCGATGGGCCCGCACGCATAATGTCTAGCCACACGTCTTGACCACAGCGGGTTGTGATGTGTCCGCACTGTCCCCGTGATGCCCCTGTGATGTTTCTGCGCCGCCCTTTCTTTCTTGAGGATTTTCCATGTTGTCCCTTGGTGTCTCGTGATGCATTCCCAGTGTAAAAGGGTACCTTGTATTCGATGACCATGGTGCACTTGTCAAATGGTGGTTGGTTGCGAGGGCCATTGCCGGCAAGGCCGCAGTCAATTGATATGGCTTCTAGACATCGCGCATACAGTGCCCACATGCGCATGGCGTGCGGAGAGTGCCGTGCCGCGCGTGTCGTGTTAGTCTTGCCGTAATTATGGGCAGTGTCGTGTCGTACGGATTGCGTTTGGATGTGCGGCGTCGTGTCGCTACCGTCAGTTGTGGGACGAGTTTGTGTAATATGATGTAAGCTGTGTGGTAAGAGGGGGCAGACCAGATCCACTGCAGGTCCATGGAATTCTGGCCGAGTGCCGATCGCATTCGAATGTCAATGAATGTCACGTACCCGCGCTATCGCTGCTCTCGAATTGTGCTCTCCAGTCTTCTTCAGCCACCGCTCTTCAGGCGCTCGGTCACATGAAGCTGTGGGACGAGTTTCTGGCTGGTCTCAACGGCGCCGCGTCGCTCACCGCCAACCGAGCATGGCACACCGCCAGCGTCTGGGTGCGGGCAGTTGCCTGAGGAGACCGTGATCCGTCGGTCGGGCTGTCGGTCGACGGAGCGCTCTGCTCCTGCTGGTACAGGATGTGTTTCAGGCCGTGGGCCAGTTTGGATCACGGCAGGTTGTCGGGCCCTCGGTCGCCGGAGCGCTCCGTGCCTCCGGCCAGTCTGGTCGGATTGGAGACAAGACCAGGCCGTGGACTTAGAGCTGCGCCGATCACAAAGACGTTTTCCCTTGTTTGCCTGCCCAGCGTTGATTCAAGTGGTTTCAAGTGGCTTACGCCATTCCGCCGACCCCCAGCGGAGCAGAGAAGTCCAGGGCGTTCGGTAGGCTGTGTTTGAGCTGGAGTGGCTGGTTTTTTTTTTCACGCCCGCGAGGGTGCAGCAGCAGGAGGAGGAGGAGGAGGACGAGGAGGAGGAGGAGAAGGAGGAGCGGAGGTGGAAGGTGGAAGGAGGAGGACGGAGGGTGGGAGGAATTATTGTTTGGGGTGCAAGGGGGCTGTTGGGCTTTGTCACGGGGCTGCTTGAGGGCTTCTGGGGGCCTCCGGTGGAGGTTCTGAGAAGCTTTTTGTCGGCTCCTAGTGGGCTCGTGGGACTGGTTGGGAGTATTGTGGAAGAGAACCCCTAGGATGCATATGGCCTCTCTGGTTGGCCTCTTAGGGGCCTTCATCGAGCCTCTTGTGGGGCCTCTCTGGAGGCCTCTTGGGGGCCTCTTTTGGGCGCCTTGGGGGTCTGTGGGGGGCTTCTGGGGCGATGGATGGCGGGGAAAACTGGCTCGAGATGTCAGTTCGTAATGCTCCTCTTGGGCCTTTCTTAGGGCCATGTTGGGCTCTCTTGGGGCTATATTGGACCATTATCGGACCCTCTTGGTGGCCGTCCTAAGACGATCTTGGAGCTCCTTGGGCCGCACGGGGTCGCTGTCAAGACGAAAAAGGCCGACATGGCGAAGATTTCTGCTCCCCCCAAGGGGAATGGGAGATGTTCGCGTCTTGTGGCCTTCTCGGCGGTCCTCTGGGAGCACCATTGGGCCGTCCTGGGCGCTTCGTGAGCTGTCTTGAAGCTAGATTCGGCCGTCGCGGGGTTACCCTTGGCCGTCTCGACGCTCTCTTGGACTGTCTCAGCGCTCTGCTTTGGCCCTCTCGGGCTGTTTTTGGGCTCTCTTATCCAGCACTGCTCTAGAAAGCTGGCCTTGGATTCTTGTGCGAGTCGCCTATTCCTCATAATTCTGGCTCTTGCTTCGCTCAGGGCGATCTAGCCCGGAACATTACACTGCATGGGTATGCCGCCACGGGGAGAGGTGCAGCAGGGCCCCAGGACCACGACCGATCGATATCGGGAAGCGTGGGAATGTCGGGCAATGAAGAGGATGAGGAGCTTTTGGGACTAAGACCTGGAAGGACGGGAATGAAGATGGGAAATATAGGGACGGGAGACATGGTACAGGGACGGGAAATCATGGGAGGGACATGGAGGCGGCAGGGTGAGGGGAGATGGAAGTGGGGAGTGGGAGTGGGGAGGCAAGGCAGAGGCGGAGAAGGACGTGGAGAGGGAGGTGTAGGGAAGAGTGAGGAAGATGAGGGAAAGGAGGAGGATGAGGAGGAGGAGAAGGAGGAGGAGGAGATGGGGGAGGAGGAGCCTGAGAGCAGGAGTGGGAGAATGAGGATTAACTATGAGCAGCAGCAGCGGCGTTGGACGCAGCTGCACTTTAGCATCATTTGCAGCAGGAGCAGTGGGAGCACGGTGAGACGAGGACGTAGAGGAAGAGGAGGAGGAGGAGACTGACATGGAGGACGCCCCTGGTCGGAGGACAGAAATTTGCTCGAGTGGTTGGCTGTGGTACTTCAAGTCCTCCTGGACGAGCTTTCGATAGCTCTTCACTGGTGCACTATCATCGTGTGCATGGATGGCGTTTCTGATTGGATTGCACGTGGGAGAAATCCTCAGCGCCTGTGCACGTGAACTTCACGTGGGAGCGAGTGGCGTCTGCCCACCTCAACCACGATGGAAGATCATGTGCTGGTTGTGACAAGACACTGCGGGCCCTTTCCGATGGGCAGATTTTGTGTCCCGTGCACCTCTCCACAGCTGGGTGGTGCAACTCAACGAGCTGAATGACCGAATGGCGTCGCGAAGCACGCGTTCGATGTGGAGAGCACGAAGATGCAGCGGGATCTCGAGGCAACCTTGCCGAAGCCTGTGGTGCCTTGCCTGGGCGCCTTGCCCCCCCCCAACACACACGCGCACACACAATTCTTTGTTTCCTCCCCCTGCCAGGTGGCGTCACCGTAGCGAGTGATAGCGAGGGCCGCGAGTTACCCCCTCCCCTCGACACATACATACATACATACACACACACACGCACATACACACACACACACGCACACACACGCACATTTTATTTCGCTTCGCGGTCTCGCGCGCAGCGATGCGGTGGTGAACAGACAGGCTGCTCAATTACCCGAAGTACACTGACATCCCGAACAACGAAAAGCGACTCTTAGACGACGAAGCGATCACGGTCGACCTCGGGTTCACGCTTGTACCGCGTGTCGCTGGTCGGGTGGTGTGTCGGCGTGGGCGCATCCCTTGGCTGGCCAATCGGGAAAACATCTCAGGGTTTGGAGCGTGCGACTCCGCTGCGGGAGCGGCTCAGCGATGCGCGTTTTCAATTCTTGAAGCAGGGCACTCGCCTCGACGTCTAGGCTTCGGGAGAGCCGGGGTAAGGGCACGAACGAGAATGCGCTTGTGGCAGTTCGAGGTCAGGTTCACAGAGTTTCCGACGGCGCCCATCAACGAACTCACCAGGTAGGATGGCGCCCGAAAATTCGCTTTGCCGAGGAGCACACCGCTTTGGCTGAATAGTGTACCGCTCGCGCGCTGGCCAGTGTGCACGAACATCTTGTGCCCAAAGAAGCTTACCACCAGGGGATGCAAGACAATCACGCGGCCTGGCACGCGCTCCTCGAGACGTTGGTGATGGCGTTCGCTGGGGACCATGAGGTGTTCTTGAGTCATACAACGCGTCCGCCCTCAGCATACATACCGGCCGCGCAACGCCTCGCAGTGTAGCAGGACGCTGAGGGATTGAAGCGTGGGGCAATGCTCAGTGTGATGTGTTTCTGTCCCCCGCGTGGAGATGACCTCTGCCACCATCCTATCCCCCATCCCAGTGTCGCGAGCAATTCGAGCTGTCACGTGATTATGATGCGCAGCCACACGCCGATCGCGTCAAGAAGACCGCCCACACCCCGACGAGGTGGTGCATGAGAAAAGTTGACATTGGGCTGTCGGCTGCCGACGACACAACGAACAAATAATTGTATGCCACACGGCGAGGCTGCACTCCAGGGCAGTCTTCTGCGATTGTGTGGCAGAGAAGGTGCAGGAGGGGCAGGATGGGGGATGAGGTAGGGCGGGAGAAAGGGGAGGATGCGGAGGAGCACGAGGGGGAAGAGGAGGAGGAGGAAGAGGAGGATGATGAGGAGGAGGAGGAGGAGGAGGGGGAGATGGGCATGCTTTGAGGAGGACGGGGATAAGGAGCAGGAGGACGACGAGGAAGTGGGGATGTGGAGGAGAAGTGGAAGCGGAGGACGAAGAGGATCAGCAGCATGAGGGAGGAGGCTGTGGTGGAGGAGCAAGGGTGCGCCTGAGGCGGAGGCCGAGGAGGCCATCATCTCCTCCACGGTGGAGATCATCGTCATCGCCTGCGTGTGCGCCTGGCTCCCTGCGACGCTCGCGCTGAGCCGGCCTCCCCCCGCCCTCCCCTTTACAGTTTCTCATGTTACCTAACATCGAAGACTGGTAGGTTTCTAGTGGTGTCAAAAGAGAGCAGCACATTACTTCAACATTACTGCAACATTACTCCACAGGGGGGTCTGGGCAGCCGTTGGGGGCAGTTGGGGGGCAGTTGGGGGGCTGTTGGGGTTTGCCGGCGGGGATCGTTTTTCGCATACAGTCACACACTTCGTGCCCACTTCGTGCTCTTCGATTTCCCAGAACTCCATTCCCGGGCCACATTTTGGAAGCCCGGAGCCAACTGTAGGCCACTTCGTGCTCTTCGATTTCCCAGAACTCCATTCCCGGGCCACATTTTGGATGCCCGGAGCCAACTGTAGGCCACTTCGTGCTCTTCTATTTCCCAGAACTCCATTCCCGGGCCACATTTTGGATGCCCGGAGCCAACTGTAGGCCACTTCGTGCTCTTCTATTTCCCAGAACTCCATTCCCGGGCCACATTTTGGATGCCCGGAGCCAACTGATCATCATCACAACCACCACCATCACCTCAACCACCATCACCACCACCACCATCATCACCAGCAGCAACAGCATCATCATAATCATCATCATCATCCTCCTACTCCTCCTCCTGCTCCTCCTCCTCCTCCTCCTCCTCCTCATCATCATCATCATCATCATCATTATCATCATCATCATTATCATCATCACCACCACCACCATCATCACCGTCATCATCATCATCATCATCATCATCATCATCATCATCATCATCATCAGTATCATTCTCATCATCATCATCACAACCACCACCATCACCTCAACCACCATCACCACCACCACCATCATCACCAGCAGCAACAGCATCATCATAATCATCATCATCATCAAAATCATCATCATCGCCATCATCATCATCAGCATCAGCATCAGCATCGTCATCGTCATCGTCATCGTCATTGTCTTGACAGCCGTCTTTGGTTCAGGACGTGCCCTTCCAGGATGGCCCTCCCTTGGCCCTATCCTTACCGGCCTGCAGCCTCGGCTTCTCGCGGTGCTTCTCAGCCTGCGGAGGAAGACCGACACACGCCTGCGGCCGCGCCTGCTCGCTGTGATCCTCAACCTGGGTCTTTTACGGTCGCCTCTTTTAACTTCGGGTTCGAGCAGAGCATGATGATGGGGAAGAACTCCGAGACTCACTGCTCCAACTTCGGGCGGATTTGCGCCAAGATAGTCGAGGAAGTCGATGCTGACCCTTTCTTTGGGTGCGAGGTCGGTGCGTTTCGTCAAGGCCTGAGTCGAGCATCCATCAACGTGAAAGACATCCTGACCAAGCCGCTCGGCGACAGCATCGGCTTCTGCGAGGTCGCCAACTACTTGAGCCTATGGGGCTTCGGCGGTGCTTCTCAGCCTGCTGGCGTGTCCCTGCGCGAGGACACATACATCTACCACGTCCCCATCGCGCGACAAGTGGACGCAGTGATCTCACGGTTCAATGTGCAGACAGGAGGCCATGACAAAGTTCACGTGGTCGTCGGAAACATGCACATCGTTTGCGGAAGCAACCCTCCCAGCATTCACACGCGACAGAAAGCAGTTCGGTTTCTCCGACTCCACTTGGACGGGATCGCCGTGCTTCTCAGTACTGGGGAGCCGGGCGCGCCGGTCGTGCGCCTCGTAGTCGGCGACAACAACTTGACCGCGCAGGAGGCGCGTGAAGCTTTCCAACGCCACACTGACGACGAGGCGTTATGGGAAGTCTTCGCCCCCCCGGCGGACCGCAAAGGCGACAACGTGGCAGTCTGCGGAGCAGTCGCGCGTTTCCAGCCCGTCGCTGTTGGCGCCTCCTACATGGGCCGCGGCATGCGAAACGACGCACGCGATGATGTTGCGGTCGTGCTCACCGCCCCTGATGCTTCTCAGCCTGGGGAGACAAAGAGGCGGAAGATTGCATTCGGAGGATTGCCTGACGCCGACGCCGGCTCAGAGACCGAGGTGGAGGGCCCCTCGGTGCACTGGTCCCGGTCCCCGAGCCCCGCTCCTGTGCATGCACCGCTTTCACCGACGTCGCCGGCCGACGCCGCAGCCTGCGACGAGCCCGAGGATGAAGTTAGTCGGCGCGCGCATGAGCTGCACAAGGAGTTGAGGGAGTATTGGGACCAGAGGTACGACGCGGCCTACGACCCGAAATTCCTCCACCACCTCAGCCTCTTGCTGTTCAAGAAGAGGACGTCCACGCAGCCTGCGGACAAAGATCCAGCTGGTGCTTCTCAGCCTGGCTCGGACTGCGACACCGCCTTCGCGTCGCAGGCGGAGGCTGTCCGAGCCATTGCGTCTGTCCCTAAGGTTCGCCATGAGTTTCTGCGGAGCAAAAACATCGCCGACTTGCGGCGCGTCCTCACCGACGCTGAGCGCGGGGAACTCGTAAGACGTGTTCGCACAGAGCACGAGCAGTCCGAACACCAGCTGGCGCTACAGGAACGAGATGGCGAGAAGGGGAAAGCGAAAGGCAAGACTCCACCGCAAGGTTCTAGCGGAACTTCTCAGCCGGCGGGAAAAGGCGAAAAGGGGAAAGCGAAAGGCAAGACTCCACCACAAGGTTTTCGCGGAGCTTCTCAGTCTGCGGGAAAAGGCGAGGAGGGGAAGGCGAAAGGCAAGACTCCACCGCAAGGTGGCCAGCCCCAAGGGGCAGGCCAAGGGAGTCTCGCTAAGTTCCTCAGAGAGCAGAAGCGCAAGCGGTGGTGCCGGCATCTGCAACGTGCGTGCGGCACAAAACAGATCTGGGAGGTGCTGGCTTTCTCCGGCCGCTTCGACGTTGACATGCTCACCCAAGCCCTGCACGCCGAACCCAGTGAGCCACCTGCGCACGACGAAGTCATGAAGGAAGAGCGCCGCCGCCTCCACCACGACAAGGCTGAAGCGATCTCGCGCTACAACGAGGGTGAGCGGCTCGCCCGCTATCGGCAAGAGCTCTTACGTGGCGGTGCTACTCAGCCTGCCGACCAGGGCCAGGAGGTTCCCACTCTCACGCGCAAGCAGTTGGACGTGCTTCGGAAGTGGGACAGCGGCGAGTTGCGAGTCAACCGGAACCAGGCGATTGTGGCGCTAGGACACGGCCGCCTCCGTACTGCGGGAGGGGATTACCTGGACATCGGCGGCAGCACGGGCGGTGGGTCTCGGCGCATCATCGACTCTTGGCAGCCGCCGGATTGGCGCGACTTCCTGCAAGACGAGCGGGAGAGGTGAGGTTTCCAAGCCCGTGTGCCCGCGGTGCTTCTCAGCCTGCGGTGCTTTTCGCTAGACTCTTTCTGCGGTGCTTTTCTGCGAGTAGTAGGACTCTTTTCAGCCTGCGGGTTTCTGCGAGTCTCAGCCTGCGAGTTTTCAGCCTCCAGGTTTCGCAGGCTCTCCGCTTCGCACGCCGCTCCTCAGTTCCAAGACGTCTGTCAAAGTGCAGGCTTTTGCAGGCTGCCGCTTTTGCAGCCTGCCACCACAGCTCAGCGTGCCGCTTTTGCAGACTTCCAAGACGTCTGCCAAAGTGCATGCTTTTGCAGGCTGCCGCTTTTGCTGCCTGCAACCGCAGCTCAGCCTGCCGCTTTTGCAGGCTTCCAAGACGTTTGCCAAAGTGCAGGCTTTTGCAGGCTGCCGCTTTTGCAGCCTGCCACCACAGCTCAGCGTGCCGCTTTTGCAGACTTCCAAGACGTCTGCCAAAGTGCATGCTTTTGCATGTTTTTTTTTTGCATGGGCTCGCCCAGCACACCAGTAGAGACACAGGTCTTACGAGTCCCTGCATATAATACTTTGTACACAATGTAGTCCTGCGAGTCCTACTGTCCTGCGAGTCTGTGATACAACTGTGTAGTGTCAAGCTCTGTGCGTTGATAGCAGTGTGTGCGTTGATAGCAGTGTCTTGTTTGACCATACATATATTCAAGTTCCGTGTGTTGATAGCAGTGTCTCGTGAGGACGTACACCCATTCAAGCATCCGTGCGTTGATACCGGTGTCTCGTTTGGACATGCATCCATTCGAGCTCCGTGCGTCGATAACAGTGTTTCATTTGGAGGTACATCCATTCAAGCTTTGTGCGTTGATAGCAGTGTCTCGTTTGGACATACACCCATTCGGGCTCCGTGCGATGATAGCAGTGTCTCGCTTGGACATACATCCATTCAAGTTCCGCGCGTTGATAGCAGTGTCTCGTTTGGACATACACCCCTCCAGCTATGCTTCTACATATCGATGTTAGGTTGCTTTGCCGGGATAATTTGTCCTCGTGGGCCCCAGACAGTGGGCTCTTGCACTCTCGATGTGCCGTAAATGCTGTAGTGCCACCCGTGTGTGGTGCAGGTTATGCGTTGCAATCTGTCTAGTGGCCTTCGGCCCATTCCTGCAAGAGGCCTCTTGGCTGCAACTTAGGGCCTCGCGGGGAGCTTCCCGAGGCTTCGAGGCCGCCTCGGGGCCGCCTCTTGGGTGTCTTTTGGGGACCTCTGGGGGAACTCTCGGGGGTCCGCTTGGGTGGTTTCGGTGGGACGGGGGGACTCGAAATGTCCGTGCGTGTTTCCCGTCCTGGGCCCCTCTCCTAGGGCATCTTGGGTCTCTTCAGGAGGCCTCTTGGGCTCCCACGACGCGCGCCCGCAGGCCGAAAACACGGAAGCGCCAGCCAGCGCACGAGGCACTCACGGGCGCCCGCCAGGTCAACAACAATATGATGCCAGGCAACGAATTAAGAGCTCTTTCATGCGAACATTTGTTCGGGAGTTTTGGAACAGATTCTCCACTCTGCTCCGAGGACGTCCTGCGGTTCACCCGCGCCCCCGCGTTCTTGTCGCACGAAGGCTGTCAAGTCTTGGTATTTCCCATGTGCTCGCCCGCTCGGAACTTCATCGGTCGTTCCACAGGGCGCTGTCGCATCTCATGGTCAAGCGCTTGGTTCTCCCTTAGATCTGCCGGGGCGTTTGTTTACACAGTTTCTAATTCGGCGTGTTGGGAATCATTTGTTTAGCGCTTTTGGGTCCAGCAAACAAAACTAAAACGCTAAAGGAACTAAGTATGTTTCGTTGTTAGCTGCGTCTTCTTTAGTGTTGTCATATCAGTTGGCTGCACTGTTCAACATTGTCGTCTACAATGTCCTCAGTTCCTTCTCTTGGCGTGCAGTCATGAGCCCTCCAGCTCTCTCAGTCCGTCTGCTCGCCGTCCTTGGAGCCCCTCCTGGGGCGTCGGGCCTCCAGGCCCGATGGCCGATAGCCCGCTTGGGGCCATAGGGCCTGTGGGCCTGTTTCGGGCCTTCGCTAAACCGGTGTTAGAGCGTGTTGTTTTTGTGCATCTTTAGCTCTGCGAGGGAGAACGGCGGCAGAAACGAAGAGTGGGAGTGAAGACAGAGGGGAGACACGGAACAGCTCTCGACCAGAAAGAAAAAACGCAAACATCTTAAGATCCACAGGGACGGGCCTGAAAACGCTAAACAAACTGACCTGAAAACGCTAAAGCGTTTTGTTCAGCGTGTTTAGCTCGTCAAGAGAACAACGTGCAAAACGGTACAACGATGCCCAGGGCGTTTTGAAGAAGAACCAAGAGGAGGGAGACGGTAGGAAGGAGGAAGGAGGCGCGGGCGTGACACGACTGAAAAGAGCCCATGTTCTCGGGATGTGGGGAACAATAACCGCGCATGTATAAGATAGGGGATGAGTGTGGGCACAGCTAGGCCCAGCACGTGCGAGTAAGCATAGGTGTGTCGGAGTACGTGCGGGTCTGAGGGATGCGTCAGTCTGAGAGTGAGTGGGTCTGTGTACCAGTGGCTGAGTCAGAGTACGATTGGGCCGAAGTGTCAGCATGAGTGTCTGTATGCATGAGCCTGGATCAAGCCGATGCGGCTCGAGCCTGCCAGCGGGCCTCGCCCATACGCACCTTCCATTCCATAACATGAGAATCAATGCTGGATCTGTGTCACTTTCCTTCATCCTCCCGCCCCCTAGCCAGGAGTGAATCAGAGGAGGGCGGGCATTTGACAAGACCGCGCGCCCCCGTGCCGCGATGCCAGTGCGTTCGAACTCGTTAATGCCCCTTCCCCTCTCTTTCATCCTCGTCCCGTCTCCCTCTTCCTCCCGTTATTCATCCCTTTTCCAGCGGGCTCGCCCCACTGCCCTATCACTGCCCCTGCCTGACCCTCCTGCCCCACTTCCCTCTGCTGAAGTGGGTGCCTCGTCCACTTGTTCCTGCCGCTGTTGCTGATGCTCCTCTCGTCCGATACGGCCGAGGTTCGGCGTGCTGATCTTCACCCAGGATCCAGTGCTGGTGCCGCCCCCGGCCTCCTACTCTTGCGCTCCGTCTTCCGACCCCATCCCAGGCCTCCACCTTCTCTTCTTCCTCCTCCTGCTCCTCCTCTTCCTTCTCTCCCTCCTCCTCCGCCTTCCTCCCCCCCCCTCTCCGCAAGGCGAGGCAAAGGAGGGGGCACGAAGGGGAAAGGATAATCACGCATTCTCATACACACCTCTCCGAGGGATTAGAGCTCAGTGGCGATTAACTTCGAAGCCGCGTTTCGTTTTTGACGTTTTGCTCGGTCTATCCTCAACATTCTGAAAGTCGGACGCACCCCTCACGCAGATCTCGTCGCCACGGTTCAAAAGCACAGCCTTCTTCAATCAGTTGAACATCAATTTCAAACACACACATTTGAATTCAATGATTCTATAGGCTTACGCCACATCCGCCGACCCGTTGGTTTTTGCTCTTCGGGGGACGATGTTCGGTTTTCGTGGGGGGTCTTTTGGAGGCTTCGTTGGGCGGCCTGCGGGCATCATGGGTTGTGTGGATGCCATCTTGGACGATCTTCGGATTGTCTTTGTGTCTTCTTCGGGGGCCTCAGGGTCTGTTTTGCAACGGTTTGTCGACGAGTCGGGGTTCTCTTGGAGGCAGTTTCGAAGTCTCTTGGGGGCCTTTTTGGAGCGTCTCAGGACTTTGGTGGGCCTTCTGGGGCCTCTTGGGGGCGTCTTCGGGGTCTCTTGGAGCCTTTTGGTGCCTCCTGCGGCGTCTCGGACCGCAAGGCTCGGATCGTCGGCCCGGGCTCTCCTTCTTGGGCCTCCTTGGAGCCGTCTTGGAGGCCTGTCGGGCCGTCTTGAGGGCGTCTTGGGCTGTCTTGGCGCTTCCCGGAGTGGCACCAGACCCCCCAGAGAGGCACCGAACTCAAACGTGAGAGCGATGATGATGATGATGATGATGATGATGATGATGATGATGATGATGATGATGATGATGATGATGATCATCATGGTGATGATTTTTATCGTGGTGATGAGTATGAGGTTGTGGTACTGACTATGATGAGATGGCGATGTCGATCATGATGATGATTATGATGATGAGCTCGATCCTGATTGCGACTGATGGTTTCTACGAGTGGGAGTAAGAGACAGCGGAGGAAGACGAGGAGGAGGATGACGAGGAGTGGGAGTAAGAGACAGCGGAGGAGGAGGAGGAGGAGGAGGAGGATGAGGGGGAGCAGGAGGAGGGAGGAGGGAGAAGGAGGGAGGAGGATGGAGGAGGAGGAGGAGGAGGAGGAGGAGGACGCTGAGGACGACGAGCATGAACAGGAAAAGGACGGAGAGAAGCGGAGGAGGAAGAGAAGAAGGAGTATGAGGAGGAGTAGGAGGAGGAGGAGAAGGAGGATGACGATTATTGACTTGACGCTGTAAAGTGTTTCCTGGGTTCGTGCGCCGTGTCGTCGAATGGGCGTCGGCACTGCCTTTCATTTCGCGCGCCTTTGGGATCGGCGCATGATGATGAGGACGATGATGGTGATGATGATGATGATGATGATGATGATGATGCTGATGATGATGATGATGACGATGATGATGATGATGATGGCGTGGTGATGGAACACTTGCATGGTGATGATTATGACGGTGATGATGACGAGCTCGATGATGATGGCGATGGTGATGGGGTAGGAGCGGCAGATGCGGAGGCAGATGACGAATGACGGTGAAGATGAATACCATAAGGAGGAGACCGAGGAGGAAGACGAAGATGAGGAGGGGGAGGAGGAGGACGAGGATGAGGAGGATGATCAGGATGATGATGATGATGAGGAGGAGGAGGAGGAGGAGGAGGAGCAGGAGGTGGAGGACTGGGAGGAGGAGAATGAGCAGGAGGAGGAGGAGGATGTGGAGGAGGAGGGAGCAGGACAGAGGGTGGAAGGAGGAGGATGACGGAGGGAAAAGGAGGAGCAGGAGGAGGAGGAGGAGGAAGAGAAGGATGATGATGGTGGTGATGATGCTGATGATGATGATGATGATGATGATGATGATGATGATGATGATGATGATGATGATGATGAATGGGGAAACGCTCGCAAATTTTTAAATGTTCGTTTCGGCGCGGTGGTTCTCATCGTGGTGATGCTGCTGGTCAGTGGCGCGGTTTCTGGCTTCGGCGCGGCGGGTCTCGTCGCGGTTACGTTGTCGGTGAATGTTGTCATAGAAGGGGGAAGCGTCCGGAAATGTTGAAATTGTCGTTTCGGCGCGGTGGTTTTCGTTGTGGGTATGCCGCCAGTCGTTGGCGCGGTGTCTCATGTCGGCGCGGCGGGTCTCGTCGCGGGTACGTTGACGGTCAATGTTGTCGTAGAAGGGGGGGGAAACGCTCGCAAAGTTTGAAATTTCCGTTTCGGCGTGGTGGTACTCGTTGTGGTTATGCCACCCGTGAACGGGTTGGTTTTCTCTTTCAGCGCGGCGGGTCACGTCGTGGTTACGTTGTCGGTAAGTGTTGTCGTAGAAGGGGGAAACGCTCGCCATGTTTTAAATTTTCGTTTCGGCGCGGTGGTTATCGTCGTAGGTATGCTTCCCGTAAATGGCGCGGTGTGCCTAGCCGGCGCGGCGGTTCTCGCGGTGGTTGCGCTGTCGGTCAGTGTTGTCGTAGAAGGGGGAAACGCCCGCAAATTTTGGAATGTTCGTTTCGGCGCGGTGGTTCTCGTCGTGGTTGTACTGCCAGTCAGTGGCGCGGTGTCAGACGCTCACGTCGCGGTGTCGTCGGCGTCCGCTGTCGTAGAGGCGCGCGCAACGCTGGCTGCCGCCGTCGCGTTTCGTGCAATGCGCATCGAAAGCGCTTTTATTCAAGTACTCTGGGTGGTGTTTGCGGAACGGTTCGTGGCGATGTTATAGGCCGCTGGTTTTCGGTTGGAGCTGCGCGCTGTCGCACTGCACAGTGTCGTAGGTTCGTCAGAGGGTGTACAAGGAGCGGCTTTGTGAACTGCCGTCGTCTTTCCGGTTTTGCGCGTCATGGACGTCGTAGAGTCGCTAGGAAAGGAGGCAGCGCATGTGACTATCGGAGCTCCGCAGCGCGGACGACTGACGCCCAGAAGCGAGGCACGTACACGGCGGTGATGAAATCACCCAGTCGAAACAATTCGGCAGGCAGGCACGCAGCACACGTCGTCGACGCGTCGTTCTTCGACGTGTTGCGCACAATCTTTTTTGTTGGGCTCGGGCATGCTTCGAATCCGTCTGGGCTGCGGCGTATCGCGACGCGGGCGTCGGGCCGCGAAGCGCGTCGCGCGGGGCGCGCCCGCGCAGCTCGCGTGCGTTTGTCGCCAGGGAGTGGCGCGAGCAGAAAGGTGCGCCGGCAGGGTGGGGGCAGCGACGAGGGTGCCGAGGGCGCCGCGACATGCGCGAGGAGCTGTGGTGTGCCCTTCGAGACCATTGGTGATGGAATGCTCTTGGTGGTTGTCGCGTGGACGGCGCATGCGACGTGCGCGCCACCGACCTCTGTGGCGACCTTGGCGGCAGACGACGCAACCGTGGGGCCCTGGGAGAACAAGTGCCTGCAAGATGCGGTGGCGCGTATGCAGCGCGGTCGTTGGCGCCGTGAAGTTTTGCGTTTTTTTTTTTTTTTTTTTTTTTTGCGAGAGAGCGCGCCAATCATACAGGGTCTGGTGTTAGCGGGGCGGGCGGGGTGCAAGAACAGAACGTGGACGCGGTCCAGTGGCGGCTGCGCCAGAACAAGACTTTCGCCTGGGTGTACGAGGCCGAACATGTCACGGATCTTCTGGAGGAGGGAATCCTTTGGAGGTGGCGGTTGGGTGATGCGGATGGCCGCTGCGTCGGATCGGCCGTTCGGTTGTCCGAGGGGCATGTAGTTCGCGTCGCGCACGGGCGCGGTTCGTTGAACGGGGTGGAGGGAAATCCGGCGCAGGCCCCGCGGCGACGCTGCGCGGCCGGCGCGTCTCGCGGCAGCAGAAACGCGGCGCCGGCGGCAAACAGCAGCGCGAGCGCGAGTGCCGAGTCGACAGAAACGGGCTACAAATCCAGTCAAACGGCGGCCGCTGCCGAGGCGCGTCGGAAGGTTGAGAGAGAACGCGGCCTCGGACCCGATGAGGCGGCTCAGCTTGACCAGCAATCAGCAGCGCGTGCCTCCTCGCGTCCGGGCGAGAGCGCTGAGGGTCTTGGATTCCGAAATCGCAAGAAGCTGCGCCGGGGCCTCCCCGAGAAACGCAGGGCTGACGCGGAGGGGAAGGACCAGAGAAGTCGCAGCGTCGAGGACGATCGCGAGTTGGCGCCAGGTGCTGCGCGCGAGGCAGGAGGAACATCGGGGGCAGCGTCCGCTGACGTTGTGGCCGCGAAAGACCCGGACACGAGCGCCATGCGGCACGTGGCGCGCCCGCCCCCGCCGGAAATGGAAATTGGAGAGATGCTACACGGGAGGCCAGCGAGAGAGATATGCTCGGAGGGCGCGTGGAGGTGCGATCGTCTGCGCATAGAAGGGATGCCGAATATTGGAAACTCGTGTTTCGCGAACGCCCTCGCGCAAGTGTCACTGCGACTGGGGCCCATTCGGCAAACAGTATGTCGCCGCAGGGGCACGCGCGCCGCGCGGTCGGCAACGAGATGCGGCGCGTGTGCGTTGGCCGAGCAGGCCGCCCTGATGAAGGCAACAATTGGGGAGCTCCCGTTGACCAAGCGAGAGCAAGTGCCGGCAGTGGTTGCGACGCGAGCAGGTCTTTTTCAGCACGGGCCCCACAACGATTTTCGAGGAAATCGGCAGTGCGACGCGAGCGAGCTTTGGAGTGCCATGGTGGAGACAATATGTCGTGCGGAGTCCGCAGCGTTGAGTAGAATGGCAGCGCAACCGCCTCGGGGCTCGTTCGTAGACGAGTGCGTGCTTGGGTACGCAGTGTGTCAACGACGGTATTGCGCGGGATTCGGTTGGGTCTCGGATTTGTATAGACGAGAACGGTTCATGACTATTCAGTTGTGGGAGCACGCGGAGCATTCAGAGCCCTTTGTGCCTCGGCGCTTTGG